CCGCCGCTGCATGTTCCAACAAGGTGTGAGGATGCATACCTTGGCAGATCTCGCAGGGTGGCTTAAGTATGAGTCCTGGTGCCAAGACTCTGAAGGGCAGCTAGCAGTGAAAGGGACAAAGGAGAAACAGTGGCCCAGGCCTGAGGTGCGCCAGAGTAAGAGATCCATCACAGTCCTTCATGGTGCAAAGGAGGTAATGACGAATCCACAGGCTTTGAGGCCAGGTGGTGTGGCCAGTAAGAATAAGCCATACTGTCCATTCTGTAACACGGAAGAGCACTATCTCAGTCAGTGCACAATGGTATCCAAGTTGACAAAGGACCAGCTAACAGAGTGGATAAAGAGTAACAAGAGGTGCTGGCGCTGCGCACGGTCACACCAGGCAGCCCAGTGCAATCTGAGGAAGACTTGCAGCCTCTGCCAAGGGAAGCACCTGCAGGTACTGCATGATGTCAATGTTAGAACACCTAAAGGGTCACTAACAACAGCGGTGGTGAGCGGTGACTCGAAGGCAGCAACCGACGTCCTGTATCTAGACAGACCCACTGAAGGCTGCAAAGTCCTTCTAAAGATCGTCAAAGTCTGCATTCATTATGGCAAGCGAACAATCAGCACTTATGCTGTACTGGATGACGGGTCAGAGAGGACAATGCTTCTGCCGGAGGCTGCCGAGAAGTTAGGCATGCAAGGGATCGCAGAGGACGTCCCACTGCGCACGATTAGGCAGGACGTGCAGACTCTCAGAGGTGAGTCAGTGTCGTTCTCTGAACTCTGCTCTCTGCTCGGGGGGTAGTTTACTAAGCAGACGAGCAACATGTGAACCACAGTGTAGTTCCACTTCTCCTTCTGGGCCTAGTGTCCTTAACAACCCCACCAGTGACTGTATCTGGAGGGCAAATCTCTCAAATGCCGAGACGTCTCCACGCCTGATGTCAGGTGAGTCCATCATCGCAGCAATACGCCTCAGCACTATCTGATGTGGCTGGCCGAATTTGTCATTGAGGGCCTCCATCGTATCAGTGAAGGGTGTGGTAGAGTTGAGGTAGGCATCGGCTATTAATCTGGCCTCCTCTAGGTGCAGATGATACTTGAACAGCTCAGTCGCGTCCTCAGGTAGAAGATTCCCCAATGCCATCTTAAGCCTAGCAAACTCACTAGGGTCTCGACTGGAGAAGTTGGGGTTTGTTGGGCGGGGACCACGGTAAACTGTCTCTGAGGTGATAGGAGTCCTGCCCGGATTTGGTCTGTCCAGCAGTGGCTGTGGAGAGGAGAGATTGAACTGCTGCTCAGGGGATGCTGGATTATAGTCATGCTCAGTCTTACTGTCCACATAGGTGGCGCGCGGATGCTTGGACCCACCCAGTGGGAAACTGCCTGAGCGAGGTGGAAGATGAACTGGCTTGAACCAAGGAGGTGAATTATGGGAGGCTTTATCTGGAAAACTGAGAGCTGGTGGAGGATCTGATGACAGACTCTGTCCTGGGTGGTCCATGACCATATTAGCAGGTGGGATTGCCATTGCCTCTGTCTTAATGGCTGGAAACACGCATGCATCTTGGCGATGGGGGTTCAACACTGGTGGGTCACTAGGCAGTGGTGCTTCCTCAGTTGGATCTGGCCACGGTGGTGGGGCAGGCCAATCATCATCCTCCTCAATCTCTGGTGCATCACCCGGTAGCGGTGACTGCATTAACTTACTGGTTTGGAGAGAAGATGGGCCCTGCATGCTCTGGACAGCTTCCACTAACTGTCTCATTTCTGCTCACAGTGCCTTAAGTTCGATCAGATCTGCTGGATGAGGTGGCACTCCTGACGAATATCCTCTAACTCTGCACTTATTTCCTTATTTGGAGGTGTATAGGGGGAGCACGAAGGGTAGAGGAGTAGAGTGATCATAGGCTTGTTCTCCATGCCATCTCTCTGGATACAGCTGGGGGGCTAGCTGATTCTCCTGGATGTGCTGTTGGCTCTGAGCTCCATAGCGCGAGGCCGTCTCATGGAGAATAGCATCCCGCCTCCACTGAGGGCTGGCTAGGTTGCAGCTAAAGGGGGAAGCGAGGGAGGTCATCCTGGCCTTGTCCTCTTGGTGTCTGAGCTCTACATCCTCTCTATATGCCTGGCTAATGTAGCCTGGGTACTCCACCTCATAATCTGCGTAGCGCACTGGTGGGCGAGCATGTCGTTTGGGGCGTGCGCCACGAGCCTCGTACTCAGGGCCTGGTTCCATCTCTGAGGCGAACCTAGTGCATCCGGCTCGAAGGACCAATTAATGTAGTGGAGATATCAAAGATAGGCACGGCTGTGGCACTGATTCAGTCTTTGAGCACTACGGTCACCCCGGTGTGTCGGCCAGAACACCACTTAAGGCCAAATTGTTCCAGAGTACGAAAGAAGGAGGGAGCTTGAGGTTCCGTTTGAGGCACTTTATTGTCACCACTTAATTTCTGGGGCTGCAAACACAGCGGGTGTACATAAGTGTGTGTCTGGGTGTGTGTGTGTGGTTTCCTACAAGGAAATAAACAAGGGAAATAACAATCAACAAAGATAATAAACAAGTCAAATACTCAAATATAAACATAATACAACATAGTTAACATAATCAAATATAAAGATCAGAAATATATAATACACTTCAAACTGCTCACACTATGCAACGAAATAGCATCAGTGCGAGGTTAAGCAACCGCCAGTACACAGGAACTACTTCCGGTAGTTATACAAAATAAAAGCATCCCCCGTTATAATCCGCTATAATGCTCTTATTGTGAAGGGCAAGCGGGACGCTATACTTCCGGTCAAACTACGTTCGCTATTTTATTAATCCACGTACCTAATTGTTCGCTACAAACTCCGCTACTTCAACGTAAGCAATCACAAGCATCACATACAACATACAGAGAAGGTCTGATAACACAGGAATGACATTATGGACATACGAACGAACGTACATGCATCAACAAAGCTAAACCGGGGTAAGCTAACAACATAAGTTAGCATATGAAATGAGGGTGAACTCACGCATTGCATGCGTGGCCTACCGCTCCAACTATGGACTACATTAGCTCCTAAAAGGTAACATACTACAGTACTGACACAACAAAGGCAAAATATGACACAGCTCACTACTTACTTGTCATTTACGCACACCTAACATGCCCCAGGAATCAGTGCACCCCCTCCGGACCAACACTGCCCAGCCGCCATTAAACTGCCCACCTTACTAACCGGATGATGTCACTAGAAGGTGGGCTGGCCCAAACTGACAGAAGACGGAACATTACATGAACCTATATAAACTTATAAACACCAGTAAAACTATTCTATGAACTTTGGGCCCTTTTATACAATGGCCTTTAAGGACCACTTCACTAACCTTAAAAAGATTTGCTGTTGTACAGAAGGCCCTCATCTTTGTTAATCTAGGATCTCAGGTTCCTAGTGAATTTATAGACTCGTTTTTTAGTTTCAAATTATAATGAATACAACATAATTTCTCTATTGTCTCATTCTCCATCTTTCATACTCTATGATGAAATTTAGGCGTGCTCGACCAACTTGCCTATAACAGCATGGTTTGTTCAATAATATTATGAATGCCAGAACCACATTTTATAATGGTTCATCTAACAGGTGTTGAAATACAAAATAATATACTGTTGGTGGTGCTAGATTTAAAAACTTAAAGATTACCAAAATCATTAAAATTTAATTTAGAGTCATAAATGTCTATAAAACCTTTCTGGGCATTATTGTCTAGATCGAAAAATGATGGAGCGAGATTCCCTGGCTGTAGCCACAAAAGTAGCTCACAAGTGGAATTTCTAAACTCGACAGCATGTAGCAGAGTAGTTGTGATTGGAGTGGCTTTACAAGCACTGCAATCTATTGTATTTCAGTCAACATCTCAAATTAATGCTTAAGGCTGTAAAATTTGACCGAGTGTTTTGGAATATTATTTTATTTTTCAAAGGACTGGATTCAGCAATAAAATCCCTGTTACTGTTAGTTTAACAGAAAGACCTCAGTCAATCTGATAAGCTCATTAAGCTGTTAAAGATTTCTTAAACCTTTCCTAGCATTAATATTATCCTTCTTGGACCTCTACCACCAACTGTGTATGAGCTGCACAGTTAACCTCAAAAGCAAACATGGGCATCTGTGTCATTTCCCCATTTAAAGCTAAAGAAGCAGACAAAGGAACAGAGAGTACATAAAATACAGTAGCTGAAGATTAGAGTGTGTGTGGGGGTGGCACGAGTAACTAAATTCACAGTGCCTGATTTGCTAATGAAACTATTAATTGAATAAATGGAGAATGTTGTTTTTGATCACCATCTCAGTGGTCCATGAAATGACTGACTGTACTCTGCTATACGTATGCAAGCAAATCTGTTTAGCTGTCCTTGCACAGATTGTGTGCGACCTCTTCTGTGAGTGTGTGTGCACACTAAGGAATGTGTGCCACAACAGAGTGACAGTGCGGCCTGAAAGCACATTTCCAACAGGCTAATTAAAGCTCCCCCAGAATAAGGCCAGGCTTATTAACATCTCAACACAGCCACTAAAGCCTGCTCATAACCCAACAAGGATCAATGCTCTTCATTAAGGCAGACCCAATACTGCTGCCTTGCCAAGCCAACCCAGCGACCCAGATGAAGACTAGAGGGGAAATGCAGAGCTGGTGAAAATGCAAAAACACTAAGTGAGTGTGAGTGTGTGTGTGTGTGTGTGTGTGTGTGTGTGTGTGTGTGTGTGTGTGTGTGTGTGTG